ATATCTAATACCATATTTTGGAACGTTGACATCGAAAAAACCGACAGGTTAAAGTTTCATTAAACATATGCGTTTTCAATAGAGAACCTATATCACCTGGTCAATTAAACAGCAATTTTCGGACTGAAAAAGAGGAAGTACAATTACCCGCGTTATTTTCTTGTTTGTTGTATTTACATATGTGTCACGTTTTGAAGGTGATAAGTGCAAATAACTACACATGTTTATGATTAATGGTAATTTGAAAATTTAAATCCGCAACGGTTTTTATTTTACATCCTGCGCTTAACAGAAATCTCCACTCCATGTTAATTCGCTGTTATCTAATCAGCTGTTATTGCCAACGTTTGAGATGCGCAACTATCGCATTAAAGCAAGAAGAAGCATAAAAGCAGATGGATGTCAACGCTAAAATGTAGATAAGCCATAAACAAAACGTTTATATTTGTTAAATGCAGTAATTAATTAAAATTTCAATTGCAGTTTAGTTGTGGGCGATGTGCGCGGTCGCTTCAAGCAGCTGTTTAGCCGAGTGGAGCAGGTCAACAAAAAAGCCGGACCATTTGAGATTTTATGCTGTGTCGGCGACTTTTTTGGCGCCGAAAAACAAAACGAAGAGCTGATTGCCTACAAAAATGGATTTAAGCATAGTAACTAGAGTGGGTTTCTGAAATAAATGATCGTGATGGTAATTTGTTCTACTTGTGTATCCCACAGTTACGGTTCCCACTTACATACTGGGACCCAATAAGGAGGAAGACAGGCAGCACTACGAGGATTTGGTGGACGGCGAAGTCTGCACGAATCTGACCTATCTGGGCAAGCGTGGAGTTTATACGCTGACGAGCGGTGTCAAAATAGCCTATTTGAGTGGCGTGGAGGCAGCAGGCAATGTGGCTGGCGAGCATGAGTTCAACAAAGCCGATGTGCAGGCTGTGCGCAACTCCTGCCTGGTCTCAAAGAACTGTGCCACGGACTACAGAGGAGTCGATGTGCTGCTGACTTCCCAATGGCCCTACGGCCTGCAGGAGGGGGAGAACGTAAGTAGCAGGTACTTATGGTGCAGACTGTTTAATAAGTTCGCTACAATGCATATTTTAGGCAAAGGCTTCCAAGTTGATCTCGTTTCTGTGCCGCGAGATCAAACCACGCTATCATTTCTGCGCCATCAATGGCACCTTCTATGAGAGTCCGCCGTTTCGCATACCCAAAGATGAGACCACACAGTTCGAGCTGTGCACGCGGTTTATCTCGTTGGCGGATGTCGGCAACGCAGCAAAGGCCAAATATATATACGCGCTCAGCCTGAAGCCTGTGGATAAGGCGCGTTTACTAGATCTCGTGCAGAAGACGACCAACGAAATACCCTGCCCCTTTATTGGCCTGGATATGGTTGGCATTGTAAACAAAAATGAGACGGTGAGCATGAGACTACATTATAATCAATACCCTAAATAGATAATTATTTGCATGTTTTAGTCGGAAAGTCGACAGTACTTTTATGACATGGACTCGAGCGGTAATCGCAAGCGGCACAGCGAGGGTGGAAATCGCGATAAGCGGCCACGAATAATGCAGATTGATCAGGGTTGGTTCAAAAAAAATTCCTTGCTTAGATGGATTTACTTATTTTTTTTTCCATTCTTTCAGACAATTGCTGGTTCTGCTTGTCCTCGGAGAAGGTGGAGAAGCATCTGATTATCACCGTAGGCGAACGTTTTTATCTGGCATTGGCCAAGGGACCCATTAATAGCCATCATGTCTTGATATTGTCCACCAAACACATACCCTGCGCAGCACAATTGAGCACTGAGGATTGGGAAGAGCTGGATAAATTCAAGACAGCATTGCGCAAGCTCTTCAAGAGTCTGGGACAAGTTGTGTGCTTTACGGAGCGTCATTACAAGACCTCACATCTGATAATCGATGCTGTGGCCTTTGAGGAGGGCTATTCGTGGAAGATAAAACACAGTTTTGAGGTCTGCTGCATACTTTTTATTTATTTATATACTTCAATTAAAATAACGTTATTTGTATCTAATTGCTTTAAGGACAAAGCTGAGGAGTTTAATTTAGAATTTGAGACGTTGCCGGCCTTGACTTCAGCAAAAATGTTGCCAGAAATGGGTCCATATTTTCTAGCAGAACTGCCCGACGACAGCACATTGATAACGCGACAAATGAAACATTTTCCGCTGCACTTCGCGAGGTTCGTAGCATGAGCTTAATGCTCTACTAACAATTAACAAATTTAAATTGTTTTCAGGGACGTTTTCTGTTCAGAGAATTTGTTGAATTGTGACGAGAAAGTCAACTGGAAGGATTGTCTGCTGGACAATGAGGAGGAGAAAGCTAATGTCGAGGAATTTCGTAAGCTATTCGCGCCCTTCGATTTTACAGATGATTGATTAAAAGTGAAGAACAACCGTGAGTTGCACAGTAAAAAATCTCTGTTGTACTTATTGAATATATCAAATTACACATACATGCACACAAGCCAGTCAAATACTATACTACAATATTATGTTAGTCACACCCACTTATGTATGTATTAGATGTTATTGTGTTAAGTTTACGAGTCCCGTTGATAGATTTTGTTAAGTATCTGCAAGAAGGTCTGATGCGGCACGCCCCGAGATGTTTGCTGTATGTGGGTTTTGATCATATTGTAGGACTCCTCCTCGAAAATGGCATATGTAGAGGGCAGGCTGAGCTCCTTATACAGCTCCTTAACCCGCTCTACCTTAAGTGGATCTACGAGAACAATAGAAGTTAGTTACAGTCTGGTTTCGATACTTGTTTACGCACCATTTTGTCCATAGCAGTCTATCATAATTTGCCTTTGCTCGGCATTGGCGCGCTGCATGGCTACCACAGCGAGCCAGGAGCACTTGTTGTCCTGTATATCGGTGCCTATTTTGCCGGTAACCTCTGGATTACCAAAACAGTCGAGAAAGTCGTCTTGCACCTGGAAAAAGTGACCCATTTCAAGCAATATGGTCTTGGACTGTCTAAATGCCTCGGCATCTTTGTACCTGCAAAAGGGATACATTTATTATTTATACAATTCAAAATGAATATTGGCAACACGCACCCGGCTAAATGCATTGCCAGTGCAAAGGGCAGGTAGAAGGAGTAGTAGGCAGTTTTATTATCGACAATTGCTTTGTAGTTTTCCATTGTAAACTCCGAGACGCGCTTGTGTGAATTGAGCAAGTCCAGCGATTGGCCACAGGTTGTTATGTATGCGATCTCGTGGAACAGCTCCATCAAAGCCACATAGCAGTCCAGGTGGCTGAAGTGTTGCTTGAGTATGGCATACATGGCGTTCTCTATCATGAGGGCATCGTTGATGGCTGTTAGGCCGACATTCTCCACCTTGTGCCAGCACTTTTGGCCGCGCCTTGTTGTGCTGTTGTCCATAACATCGTCCGATATAATAAAGAAACTCTGAAGCTGCAAGTGACAACTATAGTTAGATTATGCTCAACTCTCTTCCGTACTTTTAAGACTTACCATTTCGACGCACCAGCCCAGATATTGGGCCAGTTTAATGTTCTCAGGCGTCAGTTCCTCGGCGGGCACCAGGTTTTTGTAGGTGAGCACCGTCAATATGCCACGGTTCTTCTTGCCACGCGGCACATTGTATTGCAAGACCTGGGCAAACCATTTGGCAGCATCGCTGCAATTGTACGCCTTTGTCGCATTTGTGAGGTCACGCACTACGTCTTAGAATATGATAATAAATACATATATGCATTTGTTTAGTATTATTATGCTAATTAAACAACAACTAAATGCGCAGCTTACCAGGAAACACGGCCATAAAGTCGCGACTCTCATCTTTTGAGACTGTGACGCGTGCTGCTATGGGCACCGAATGATTTTGTAGTGTAGATAAAGTTCTGCAACGGGAAACCAAAACAAAAATGAATAATATTATTTAAGAAGTACGTCATGATTGGTGGGGACGGACCGACTATGAAATACCCTAAACCCAGCGTCAAGTCTCTGAATTCACAAATTTTCTAGTTTACCGCTATGCATACATACGCAAACACACATACAGGCACACTTTCACACACACACACACACATACGCTTGCAAGCCGCTTGCTACGCATTTTACGCAGCGGGAGTGCTTCTTCTTGATTTACTTTGGTGTTCATAGTTCGATCTTTATACTCTGGCTATTTCGAGACATCTCCTCGTTCTGATCAATAATATATGTATCCTTTATGATGAGATGCTTTCTTCTTCCTCTCACACACATTTCTACAAAAACAGTATACCTTTTTCCCCCATTTTAAATGAATATGCTAGAAACTCTGTTCGGAAACTGCGGCAACAGCTGTTTGTGGCCTACGTGACCGCACACTTTCACACATTAGACAGCGGCCCACCCCCTGCGGACTTGTAATGTAAACAACTGGGGTAACGGTAACTCATACAAACCTGGTTGTCTTCTTCAATTTCTGCTCATTGACCAATTCTGTCGGCAAACCATTTATTGTGTCTACAGATTTGACTTCATCGCTCGTGGAAATAAACCGACGCATTACGGCGGAACATTGTAGAAGCCGCTGATGCTGCTGTGGCAGCAACTTCTGTGCTAGCTTGAACATGTTTAGTTCAACTATTTTATACAAATTTAAGTTTTTGCGGCGTTATTTAAACAATTTCGATAAATGTGACTATGTTCTATTCTTAATTTCATTCAGCACTCGGCTAGTAAGTTTGTGAATAATTTAAGGCAACAATTTCGTTAAGGAATTTCAGTTTACACTCGATTTCTTTTAAAAAATGTTTAATTATTGCGCACTTGACACCAATGTTTTCTTGTCGAAAGTCGAAAGAACTTGGCCGACTGGTAAGTGTGACCGTTGTAGTGATCAGAAAAAGTAAATTAAAATTTCTACAAATACCAACGAAAATACATAATTTATATACTGTCATTAGTGTTGCACGATAATGTATCGATTGTTGTGACCTTCGATACTTTCATCAATAGTAGCTCAACGCTGTAGCTCATCCCTAAATCGCCGAAACAACTGGAGCCCAGGCAAACAAAAAAGCCGTGATTTTTTCACGTAATTTATGTACATCATGATGGATGAGCAACTAATTGATGAAGTGGCTCAGCACGGCGTCATCTACAATCGCCAAAAGTATTATCTAAACGGCAGCGTCAGCGGCGGCAAGTACGAAACCAAGGACGAGGCCTGGCAGCTCATCGCACTGAAGCTGTGCACAGACGGTAAGTCTCAACTCAATTTGCGCTAATTAGCTAAGTAAACTTGATAAACAATATTGTTTGCTTGGCAGTGGAAACGTGTAAGAAGCGCTGGAAATATTTGCGCGAGCGATATGTGTCACAACGCAAACAGGGCGATCCACCTGTTTACGAGCACCTGTCACGTCCGTATTTGGAGAAAATGAAATTTCTGGATCAGCACATACAGCCGCGCAAGTCTTACCGCAATGTGCCCAACTTTCTGACCTCGCCGCAGTCGGCAAACAGCTCTAATTACAGTGAATATAATGTGGACTCCAAGTCGAATAGCTCACATAAGAATATGTCGCATTTCGCTGGCGCCGCTCAGAATCATCATTACCACCAGCATCAGCAGCCGACGGATCAGAAGCATACAATGAATGCGCTCAGTACAGCTGCTGCATCGGCACTGGAGAACGTTAATGGACAGGTTAAGATTGAAGCGGAGATATTTAGAGACTTTGCTGCCGCGGTGGCATCGCAGCAGCTGCAGCACATTTCACAGTCACAAATGCAGCAGCAACAGGCCGCTGCTGTGGCCGCCGTCATGGCCGACTCCTCGCAGGGCTACCAGGAGCCGTATCGCGACAGCACCGTGGGCTTAAATGTCGCGCAAAATAGCGCCGGCAGTACTGGCGGCCTCACCTCAACGTCTTCGTCCATGAAATCGCCGCTGTCATCGCCGCTGACAGGCATTGTAGGGGCTGGCGGGCAAGAGGAACAGCCTGTGCCAGCCGCACAACAGCCAGCGGTACATTCCTCATCCAGTGTGACCGGAACTGCCAACAGCTTACAGATGCAAGCACATGCCTTTAGTCATAAGTCCAACGACGATTTGCATTCCTCTACGTCGAGCAACTATCACACAAAGAAACCGCGCGTGCAGCTGACCTCAAATGGCGCCAGCCATGGCCAACATTCCAGCAATGGCGGCGGCATGTCCAATGCAAATGGATATTTTGGACACGACAGCGACGAGGATTCGGATGACAATAGCAATGACTTAAAGGAGTCACAGAGCATGCTACAACACGACAATCACTATAACAATACAATTAATATGCAGCGAAGCGGGGCAAATGGAGGTGTTAATAGCAACAACAACAACAACAATAATAATCAGCAGCAGCAGATCCAGCAGCAGCAACAGCAGCAGCAACAACAACAACAACAACCACATCAAAACATGTTTCCATCGAATACAGACTTCCTCTTCCAGCTTTACCAGCAGCTGCCCCAGCAAGCAGGCTCTTCGCATGCCTCCAACTTTGGCAAATTCCAAACGCCTCCAAATCCGCCCAGCATACAGCGCTCCTCGGAGCATTTGCTGGGCGAGCTAGTAACCACGGAGCTGCTTAAAATGAACAAGGATCGTCGAAAAAATGTGCAAAAAAGAATATTAGAAATACTCTTCTTTGACGATTAGGCGGGCGTTCAGTATTAATAGGGTCGCTTGTAAATAGTGTATAGATTAGATTTGAATTTAAGTTGATTATAGATTAATCATTAAGTTAATGCAAAACAGTTTTTAAGTTGTCCGTTTGGTCGTGAACCCACCATGGCATTTGAAAAGTCGTTTAAGCCACACTTTCCATCTGTGCTAGTCATGAACTTTAATTGACCAACATTCAGTTTGATTTTAAGTTAAAAGTTTAATGTAATTTATGAAGTATATATATTTTTTTTTATTTAAAGGGATAGATGTCCGGGTATATCTAGTATACTTTTCCAAGTTCAATTAAAACAAAAGCTGTAATTTATTCATAATGTTTATTAAAGTGTACACGATTACGTATATGTAAATATGTCTATATCTGCATATAGGTTTAGTTTAGTATTTAGTTAATGTTGTATAGCCATATTAAGTACTTCAACTATCTATGTTATTGTCTGGAAACCAGCCGTGTCGCTGAGCTTAAGCGGCTTCCACCATAAATCTACGCTGTGATTGGTTTTAGGATTGGGCGTATCACAACCGCTCGTACAATTCGACTTATAATTATCAGCTGGGTCTGGTGAGTGCGTAAAAAATTTCATATTTATATATATATTATATTAATCATTTAGTTCTTATAAGTGCTTACCATATTTATGATCGTGTTGTTCATCGCAATTTCGGGGACAGAAGACGACCTTCACATCGATGGGCTCATATACCTTCAGTATGAGTTCGGGTACCTTCTCCGTGTCTGTGTCGTCCGTCGTATACTCTAATAATGAACGATTCGTATGAGTCACTGGGTTATGGCTGGCCATTTGTAGCGGCGCTAGGTGTACACTTTGATTCTGGGCTTGCAGCAGCCACGGCTTTTTGTTCACCGTGAGGATCTCTTGGCGAGTGGCTGCTGCAGCTGCTGTTGAGTGTGTGCTGCTTCTGGTTGGAGCTATTGTTGTGGTGCTTGTTGTTGTTGTTGTTGTTGTAGTTGGTTTTATTGTTGTATTTGTGCTGTTGTTTGGTAGCGACTGCTGTATTTCTCTGCGTGTGTTTGTAGTGCGTGTCTTGGTGTCGTCTGCCTCACTCTTTGATTTATGCTTTGACCTTTCGCTAACCTCATTGGCCGATTGCCTAAGAAATGCGGCTTTCGGCAGCGGGACACTTTGTGTCTTGGATGCAAATATTTTTACTTGTGGCGTCTTGGCCTCGCTCGTTAACCCGTCGCCGCTTACCTGGGGCGACGCTTGGCCCGGCTTCTGTGCGTGCAAACTAAGCGATGGGTGTATGGAGTGCCGCTTGGCTGTTGCTGGTCTAAGTGCATCCTGATTAATTGCTGCCGCCGTGCCCTCCGCATCGTTAACATAGTCGTAATCCTCATCATCATAGTATTCCGAGTTGCTGCTACCGTTTGCATTCGAGCTGCTGGTCGTTGTGCTCCGCGCTGTGCTCTTCGTGGCTGGTGCTGAGGTGCTGCTTGTTGCCATTTGCTCTGTGGCCTTTTTGACCAGTGCCATGCGGCTTAGCTTCTGCCTCAGCAGACTCATTAATAAGCTCTTAGGCGCACTTACCTCTCTGGTCGTACCTGCAATTTCATTAGCAGAAAGCTTTTCGGTAGCCACGTCGGGAACTCTGGAGCTGGGTATCGTGCTGCTGCTGGGCGCAGCGGTAGTGCTTCCCAAGATTAGCTTTTGCTTGAGCAGTTGAATTAGCGTGTTCTTGTGGGCATTCAGATCTAGCTCAGGGAGGGGCTCATCATTGGCATAGTCCGAATCCACATAATTGTCGGAGTAGTCGGCATTGTCAGTCAGATTTGCCTTGGAGATGCTGGCATTGACTATGGCCGGCACAGGCACGCTGGAGCTGGTTTCCAGCAGATCCATGACAGCATTTGTGCGAATGGGCATGGCTCTGGTTGTGCTCTCAACTGAGCTTGTGCCAATTGTCGATATCGTAGTCGTTGTTGTTGCGATTGTTGGCGTCTTGGCAACAGATAGCTTGGCATTCTTCAGATTATCTTTATCGAGCACATTCTCCAGCTCATCCGTATCATATTCGCTATCGTAGTACTCGGAATCTGCGGGATCTTTGCTGGAATTTGTTGGCTTTGTTGATTCGCTCTTGTTCGCCGCCAGTTGCTTGATGGACTGCCTCAGCGACTCGGCTATGAATGGCTTGGATGTGGCCAGATTATGCCTGGCCATCTGTGCAAACGTGACTCTGGTTATTGGCGCTGCGGTTGTTGTGGATATCACCTTGAATAGCTTTTGGAGTATGTGTGCCGCGGCCAAGCTGGACATTGTTGACGGTTTCTTTAGTGGTCGCTCCGTTGTCCACTTGGCTGTGGTGCTCTCAACATGCCCTTCCACTTCCGGCACGGCCTCATCGTTCATATAATCTAGGCTAATCTCGCTAGAAACTAAATTTTTTGACAGCTGCGAGGATTGTGGCTCACTTTCTCCGATCAACAGATTTCTGCTCGATTTGTTTATGTTGTTTAGTTGTTGTTTTTGTTGTTGTGGTGTGCATGTGTTTGTATCTGTAAAGCAGTTGGGGTTGGGTGTGGTTGAGTGTTTCATTTGGTGTAAGCAATTTACGAAGACCTGCTAGTGTATTATGCTGTAATTATATTTTTAGGACTTACCTTCAGTCGCACAAGGTGGCAGTTTGGTGGTGTCCTGGCCGGAAGTTGTCCTTGTGCTTGGTGTTGGCGGCTGGGTGGTAGGTTTGGCTGTTGTCGCTATCGAAGCTGTTGGTTTCGGAGTTGTGGTGGTTGGTGTCGGAGTTGTAGAACTTGCAGTGCTAATTGTTGTTGACTTGGTAGTTGTAGTGGCTGGTTTCGGCGACGTGGCCGTGCTAGACGTTGGTTTAGGAGTTGTCGTGACTGGTCTCGTAGTTGTGGGGGTGTCAGAGGATAATTTAGGAGTTGTGGTGGTTGGTCTCGCAGTCGTGGGGTTGGAAGAGGTGGGTTTAGGAGTTGAAGTTGCTGGTTTCTGAGTTGTGGGGGTGTCAGAAGATGGTTTAGAAGATGTACTGACTGGTTTCGGAGTCGTGGCAGTGCCAGTGGATGGCTTTTGAGTTGTAGTGGCTGGTTTCGCAGTCGTTGTGGGGCTATTAGTTGGCTTAGGAGTTGTTGATGTTGTTGGAGTGCTTGTTGCCGTTTGTCCACCAGTTGCTGTTGTCGGATTGCTAATTGTTGTCGGATTGCTAGTTGTTGTCAGCTTGGGGGTTGTGTTTGGCTTCGGAGTGGTTGGGGATGTTACAGTGGTTGGTGTAGGAGTTGTACTGGCTGGTTTCGGAGTCGTGGAGGTGCCAGAAGTTGGTTTAGGAGTTTCAGTGGCTGGTTTTGCAGTCGTGGGCGTGCCAGAGTTTGGATTAGGAGTTGTTAATGTTGTAGGAGGGCTTGTGGCTGTTTGTCCAGCAGTTGTTGTTGGCTTAGGGGTTGCTGATGTCGGCTTACGGGTCGTGCGTGGTTTCAGCGTGGTTGTGGATGTCACAGTGGTTGGCTTAGAAGTTGAAGTGGCTGGTTTCGGAGTCGTAGCGGTGCCAGAGGTTGGTTTAGCAGTTGTAGTAATTGGTTTCAGAGTCGTGGGGTTGCCAGATGTTGGTTTAGGAGTTGTAGTTATTGGCTTAGGAGTCGTTTGGGGAGTGCCTGTTGTTGATTTAGGAGTTGCTGGAGTGCTTGTGGCCGTTTGCCTGGCAGTTGTTGGCTTAAGAGTTGTAGTGATTGGTTTCAGAGTCGTGGGGTTGCCAGATGTTGGTTTAGGAGTTGTAGTTATTGGCTTAGGAGTCGTTTGGGGACTGCCTGTTGTTGATTTAGGAGTTGCTGGAGTGCTTGTGGCCGTTTGCGTGGCAGTTGTTGGCTTAAGAGTTGTAGTGATTGGTTTCAGAGTCGTGGGGTTGCCAGATGTTGGTTTAGGAGTTGTAGTTATTGGCTTAGGAGTCGTTTGGGGTCTACCTGTTGTTGACTTAGGAGTTGCTGGAGTGCTTGTGGCCGTTTGCCTGGCAGTTGTTGGTTTCGGAGTTGTAGTGATTGGTTTTAGAGTCGTGGGGTTGCCAGAAGTTGGGTTAGGAGTTGTAGTTATTGGCTTAGGCGTCGTTGTGGGACTGCCTGTTGTTGATTTAGGAGTTGCTGGAGTGCTTGTGGCCGTTTGCCTGGCAGTTGTTGGTTTCGGAGTTGTAGTGATTGGTTTCAGAGTCGTGGGGTTGCCAGATGTTGGTTTAGGAGTTGTAGTTATTGGCTTAGGAGTCGTTTGGGGTCTACCTGTTGTTGACTTAGGAGTTGCTGGAGTGCTTGTGGCCGTTTGCCTGGCAGTTGTTGGTTTCGGAGTTGTAGTGATTGGTTTTAGAGTCGTGGGGTTGCCAGAAGTTGGGTTAGGAGTTGTAGTTATTGGCTTAGGCGTCGTTATGGGACTGCCTGTTGTTGATTTAGGAGTTGCTGGAGTGCTTGTGGCCGTTTGCCTGGCAGTTGTTGGTTTCGGAGTTGTAGTGATTGGTTTCAGAGTCGTGGGGTTGCCAGATGTTGGTTTAGGAGTTGTAGTTATTGGCTTAGGAGTCGTTTGGGGTCTACCTGTTGTTGACTTAGGAGTTGCTGGAGTGCTTGTGGCCGTTTGCCTGGCAGTTGTTGGTTTAGAAGTTGTAGTGATTGGTTTCAGCGTTGTTGTGGGGCTATTAGTGATTGGTTTAGGAGTTGTTGATGATGTTGGAGTGCTTGTTGCTGTTTGTCCAGCAGTTGTTGTTGGCTTAGAGGTGGCTGTCGCACTACTAGTTGTTGTCGGCTTGGGCGTTGCGGTTGGCTTCGAAGTCGTGGGGATGCTTGATATTGTTGTCGAAGCGCTAGTTGTTGTTGGCTTGGAAGTTGAAGTTGTTGGTTTAAATGTTGTTGAATGTGTGCCAGATGTGGGTGGTTTGGTAGTGCTAGTTGTTGTTGGTTTGGGTGTTGTTGGTCTAGCCGTTGTTGCTGTAGAAGTTGTCGGCTTCGGAGTCGTAGTTATTGGTTTCCCAGTTGTTGTGGGATTGCTAGTTGCTGTTGGTTTAGAAGTTAAAGTGGAACGTTTTGATGTCGTTGTTGCCTTGCTAGCTGTTGTCAGCTTAGAAGTTGTTATCGTAGTTGGTTTTGTAGTTATTTTGGTTGGTGTTGGTTCAGTTGTTATCAGAGTTGTTGGAGCTCTAGTTGTTGTTGGCTGAGAAGTTTTTGTAGTTGCGCTAGTAGTTGTTATTTTAGGAGTTGTTGCAGGTAAGTTAGTCGTTGTTTGTTTAGTTGTTATGGTTGTTTTTAGAGTTGTGGGGCCTCTAGTTGTTGTTAACTGAGAAGTTGTTGTACTTGGTCTAGCAGTTGTTACTTTTGTTGTGCTTTTTGTTGTAGGTTGACGAGTTGTAGTAGTGACTTTCGGAGTTGTTGTCATTGTGCCAGTTGTTGTTTGCTTAGGAGTTGTATTGGTTAGCTTCGGAGTTGTGGGAGTATTGGCTGTTGTGGGCTTAGGTGAAGTTGTTGTTGGTCTAGCTGTAGAAGTTGAAGGCTTTGGAGTCGTAGTTGTTGGTTTTCTGGTTGTTGTGGGATTGTTTTTTGTTGTTGACTTGGGAGTTGTAATTGTCTTTGTGCTGGTGGTATTAGGTGCCTCAGTGGTCGGTTTCTCGTTGGTTGGGCATTTCGTTGGCAGTATAACAATTTTTTTCTGGATCATACTTTTGAAGGCAGCTTCATGTGTCATCGTCGGGGCTTTTGTACTTTTGATGGTTGGGCTCGGAGTTGTGGTCGGAGCTTCAGGAGAACCGGTTGACTGATAGGCGGAATAGGTGTGCTTATTATAAGAATATTTCGGAGTTGTTGGTATAATAACTATATTTACCGGTGATTCCAACTCTTGATTCTCCTTGACAAGTGCTTCGGACTCAAAATGCGGGTCGCCATAGTTATAGTTGGGGTAAGAGAGATACGAGGGGTAAGAGGGATACGAAGGATAAGACGGATAGCCTTGATATTTAGGAGGAGTCGCAACTGTTGTTGTCGTTGTCGTCTTGGGCAGAATAACAACAACGGTTTCTTCAGGCTCCCGAATGTTGCCCACTTTAGATTCCGTGGACAAAGCGCCGGCTTCTGGCTGCTCTGGCACTTTTTTCTCTGGCGCGGTGTCAAAGTCCGCCTCGGAGACATACGGATAGTAGGGTGTCATTGGAGCGTAGGGTCCAAGGTCTGAGATGGGAGGATAGGCGCCGCAGTCGACTTCACGATGTGGTCGGCAAATTTTGCGTTGCTGATCGAAGCTGTTGCTGCCAGGACATCTATGGAAGGAAATTTGTTACTTTGAACGGATCTTACTGCCGTGTTAGTTGACCTACTTGAAACGTGTTTGCAAATAGTTTCCGCTGGCCTGCAGCTTGCAGGTGTAGTACAAGGCACAGTCCTTGGGAGATCTAAAGGTGCCCTCAGCTGTGCACTCGGGAAACTTGAGCTCACAGTTCTCTGGTATATAGCTGCCGCTGTTGGAGATCTCCGTCGAAGGACACTCATCGCCGGGTATGCATTTGCTCGCCGGTGGTGAGAATATGGTGCCAGAGGGGCAGCTGTATAAATGTGGCATCAAACGCTCGTCGCACTTGTAATAGATCTTGCAGTCATGGTGGTAGGGGAAGCGACCCTCCTTCCGGCAAATGGGCGGATAATCGGGATGCACGCGCTCCACGCAACGACCTGTACTCGAGCTGAATTTCTGGGCGGGGAAGAGGCAGTTAAGTATAACATTGCCTTAAGCTGGTTGACTGTAGCTTACCTCCAGGTTGGGGCATTTGCTAAAGATCACACAGTTGGGCCGACAGACATAATAGTATTGCTGCTGATCCGGATGCGGCTTGATGCCCACGTAATTTCTCGAGCAGCGATTGTTCTTTATAAAGGGAAAACACAAATAAACTCTTTGAACTCGTTTAAATTTAGTAAACCTACATAGTCCACAGCTACGGGATTGCCACCGCCGGGCAGGGGCTTGCGTATGCCGTACATGCTGTCATAGTAGCTGCCGGGCGGACTGTAGAGGAGCGGCTGCGGCTGATAGCCATAGCCATAGGCCGGCGCAGGTGGATAGCCGTACGGCTGTGCATAGTAGGGATTGGGCAGCAGATGAGGTGGAGGCGGCGGCGGCGGTGGCAAGCCACCACCGTATCCATGCGGTACGTGCAGCGAGCGGGCATTGATCGCGACCACAAGGGCCAGCAGCCAGATGCAGTTCGTCATGTTGGTCCCCACTAGACACTTGAGGGTCGGGCAATCTATCAATCGATCTGTGTCTATATATATATTTGATATGGGCAGTCGGTTTCGGTTTCACTTTATTTGGCAGCACATTAGTTAAACACTTGGCTTGACGCACTTTCTGGCCCGTGTCCTTTGCTGCGATCGCGTTCGCGCTTCGTTTCTTACTTGTCGTTTACGGTGGGCCCGCGGCGTATAAATGCACTTTCTTGGCTCCAAGAATGTTGCATAATTGAAATGCCAATTGTGCTGATGCGTGATTTATGTATAAGAACTAGACGCAGTCGCTGCTGCTGCAGTTGCTGTCGCCGTCGCTGTAATAAAAAAGAATCAACAGAACAGCAAAAACAACAAAATCATATTCTCACTTCGTCTTAGCCAATTCATGAGCGCACGCCACGTGCGCAGCGACACCGGAAGAGAAGCTGCAAAACACACCCAGAATACATGACCCAAGACCCGTACTAATAGCCCAGAGTGAGATGGCACTTGCCGCTGGCTTTGGCTTCCGTTGCGGCAAATTTAGTTGACGCTTTCTTTTTCTGCCACAGCGCGCATAGCATGAGTAATTATACACTGTTTCTTCACAGAAAAGGGGTATATTTGTTATTTGCAACAAGCGTCCATCTGTCCGTCCGTTCTTTCATCTGTCCGTTCGTCCATCCGTCGGACCTTTCATCGTGTTTGGGTATCCATGCATCTGTTTATCCTTCTGCTTCTTCGCCGATCTATCCGTTCTTCCATCTGTCCGACCATTTATTCATCCATCAGAGCGTTCGTCAATTTGTCCAGCTGTCCTTTTGCCGATACATCCGTCCTTCCGTCCGCCCGTTTATCTATCCATTCGACCGTCGTTCATACATATGTTTCTCCATTTATCCATCAGTTCATCCATTTGTCCGTCCATTCATTTAACCATCAGTCCGTCCGTGCATTTACCTATCTGTCCATTCATCCATACATCTGATCTTCCGTCGATCCGTCAATCTATCCATCCGTCCGTCCGTCCATTTTTCTATCTGTCCGTCCGTCCATTTGTCCATCAGTCCGCCCATCCGTCCGCTTACATATCTGTCTCACCATCAACTTTTCTGTCCGACTTAACTAGACAATTCTCGACTTCGATTTACACTCTGATTACAGCTCGAACAGAGTATTGCGCAGTCGATTGCGCATAATCTCAACGTTCTTGCTTGTTATTGTTTTAATTTGTGAACGTGATCGATGTCGCTGCGCTTGGCGATGCCGGAACAAGAATAAGTCCAATGATTAAGCAAAATGCTTCCATGCGGCCAGATAAAAAACCCAACTGGGCCCGATTAATCTGGCATGCCTTTGGCATTGTAATTATTGTCACCCAATCTATATTGGCCCGATTATAGGCCATAGTTGAAAAAAATAAACTATTGAACGAAGATATTGGGTAGGATAGCTAAAGACCATTCATGTAAGCCGATGTAAGTGTCATGGGCTATCTCTGAGCGGCTCGTTAGCAATTGTTTATTTTAGTTGTTAATATTTACACGTAGCCGAGAGTTACGAGAATTACGCCTAAAAATATTTCGTGCTGGTGCGTCTTTTAACACGTTCACAGCATTGCCCAAAGTGGCACGAATTTTCGGCTAGACGCTGAAAAAGCCGTGCCCCGATTGCGGCCAATACACGTAGAAATAAAAAATATTGTACGAATATGCACACAACACAAAAAAGGGCTCTTACATAAACCCTTAATATCGGATAACTTAAAACAGGCACGTTCCAGCAAACAATCTGCCTGAGAGCTAAAATTCCTGCCTACAAATAAGGGCTTAAAAATATAAATATGTAAATATATATTTTGTATGGGTTTGGCTGAGAAAAGAAATTAGCCGGCTTCGACTCCAATTCGACTTTTCGGAGTTAAGTTTTCCTGATCTTTACAATTCAATGAGAGCCTAAATATAAAAATTGGATTTAATGTTGTGACCTCTGAGATATGATATCGATATGTATCGATCTAGTTAAACCATTTTTAAGGGCTCACATGGTTGTTGGAGTCGTTTCTTGTAGATTAAGTTCAGTTTGGCAACAGATTAGGAGTTGAGAAAATAAATACAGACAAATTGTTGTATGGATAAATTTAAGTTTTATTGCATTTATTAATATATATATATGCATCTTAGTTATGTAGAAATACGTGTGTTTGACATTTTGCATATGTTTTGCTATGTATTTTTTTGGTTGTTGTTCATTTAAATAGATTGTCTTCGATTTAATAGGGCTTACGTCTAATGTAGATATCAGATAGATATTGAGCCTCAGGTAACCTGAGGTAACCGAATGCACGTGCAGGACCCTAATGCTACTTGCTTTATCGGGCCGATGGAAAGCCCCGATATTATGTATCCGAATTTAAACTGAAATGTTGTCGAACAGCTTTCGCTTGGTTATTTACAACTAATCACAAGAAGACGAGCAAAATATCCTTGTGCGTGGGTTTTAGACCTCTTGATTATCTTCCGACTCGGCGACCATGGTCAGACTTCGCAGCGATCTGTGAGAGGAAATGGCATATTAATCAGAATAAAATATTGAAAGCAATCTAATAAATATGTCGGTTGTTTATAGAGACAAGCTCACATCGTGTTAGATGCGCGTAGTGTACAAAATGTGAGGCTGATAAGCCTTATCGGAGCACATGCCAGTCAGAAGCCGAGCGGGGCTTCAGTCTGTGGCTGTCTCGCAAGAATCGTGCATGTTAATATGAAATACTTGACTCTGGCTTTGTGGTTAATCTGCTGGCTAGTCCAGGCCCAAGCATGTAAGTCACAGAACAAAAGTGCAGTTGATTAGTTAAATAATTGATTGACTGATTAATGGATTAACTCCCAGTTGCAGTTGGCGACTTGCCGACATTTACGGGCGTCTGCGCCCTGCAGGGCGACTGGTGCTCCACCAGATGCCAAATAGCCGGCGGGCGTGATGGCATTTGCAACAAGGCGCAGCTCTGCCTGTGCAGGCCACTCTAGTGCTCATTCAATTAGAAACGGAACACAAATAGAGAATAAAAAAAAAATAACGAAATCTATATATATTTACAATTGCGTACGATTCTAATGGCATTCGGGTACCTAGAGCCGAGAACGAGGCATTAGTCGGCGCTTAATTATGCAATTAAATTGTTCACCTGGAGCGCTCAAAGAGCGAGGGATCGGTGTAGATAGGCTCGCTGGGATCCTCGAACTGGTGGCTCGTGTTGCCGGCCGTGCGTATGGGATTTATAACCGGCAGCTGGCACATGCGCGCCAGATTGCTGTGAATAGATTAAAATTAAGTGGACCGGTCTTCAAAGCCCAAACCGGGCGACAGATCTGCTTACCCTGTGGCAAAAGTCTTATGTAATGAGCCGCCAAACATGGACATGTTGGTGCGAAAAGCGTTCGAGGCGCGATTTGATGTGCTCCGATTGCTGCCAGCACCAACTCCTCCTCCTACTACTCCTGCTCCTCCTACTCCTCCTCCTGCTGCATTGGGCATGTGTCCGATCTCGGAGAAACGCTCGTGGGTGCGTATCGAGGAGTGCGAGTGGCCCAGCGAGTGGATGGGCGAGTTGCGATCCACCAGACGATTCTTCGATATCGATTTCCAGTAGCGTCTGTCAAAAGGGGTCGATTCAGTTACACTCAGAGAAAAATTGAGATCAAAGTCAAACCATTTGCTTTTTCAAATTTGGTATTTGAATATTCTTAAACTGAGTACAAACAATTCTTAATTTATGACTTGATTGTTTAAAAAAGCTTGAATTTCGAATAGATGACTTAAATTCGGAAAGATGTCAGTTACACTTAGAGACAAATTGACATCAAATTCATACCGTTTGCTTCTTCAAATTTCATTCATATATTCTTAAACTAAGTAAAAACAATTCCTAATTTAAAATTTGACTGTTTAAAATTTAGTTTATGAATATTCTCAAGCTTAGTATAAAAGGAATAATTCAAAATTTGATTCAATAGAATGTTTTCCAAACAAAATTTAAATTAACATTTTTGAGTATTCTAAAAAAATCGTCGTGATGTAGACAATCTCTTATCTTGATACTTGGTTTTTTCTCCAAGTGTACCCTGCATATCGATTAGCTTACCTGTAGCCGAGTCCTGCCACCAAGGTTATGCTAAAGAGCAGAATCATCAGCAGAATAATAGCCGTTATTAGGCCGTGATATTCGGCGGGCGTCATGCACACAGTTTCCACGGGCGCGACCAGTTTGCGCGGATACGATTCCTTTTCGATTTCCTCTCGCGTCTCAAACACCTGGCGAATATTTGGTTAACTTAACATCTTAGAGCTTGGCTTTATCAATCGGTTCGTACGCACCTCGATCATTTCGCGTACTTGCTCGGGCTCCTCATTCTCCTTGGGCTTCTCGCCCTCTTGCGTGGCATTGAACTGTTCTCCGCCCATCGTTGCACTGACCGTGGTGCTGTTGACCACCGTGATCTCCTGAGTGTCCAGCTCGTCAACGCTCTCGAGCGCCTGAGGCTCGGGCAGTTCGGTTATGTTCAAGCTGCGTCGCCGGCGTCCAAAGGAGGGTTCCTGGCGCCCTGCGGGACCGGGACAATAGGCCGGCTGACAGCCTTCGCGGCAGGAGCGCACCGTGGCCTCAAACACTAAGAAATTGGATTCGGGTATCTTGAAGGCATTGAAGCGTGCCTCCAGTGTGTCGCCATCGCGTAGCTTATCCAGCTCTGGGAACACATACGGATCCACCGGGCAGCTAGAGTCAGGCGGGAGTCAAGGCATGATTGAATATAGTATTTAAAAATATTTACCCAAAGCGATCGATGAGCTGTATACTGCGGCCGGAGTAGGGATCCCTGGCCACCACATTGGTGGCAAAGATGTCCGTCACATGATTGTAGCCATCCTGCGCCTCTAAACGGAATGTCAACGGATCCCCCACGGCTATAGTGGTCGTCGGTCTGCCCTGATACAGAATGCTCAGACGCACCTTGGAGCTGAGCGTGTTCTCGGCCGGCAAATACTCGATGGGTATGGGACTGCCCGAGCTACAAAAACAGAGCACAGACAAAAGCATTAATCATCAACAGCCAATGATGATGATGATAATGGTGATTACCCAGCGCCGATATAGCCAGAGCTGACGACCGCTTCGCCGGGGCCACGAAAGATGCAGGTGAGATTGTAGCGCTTATCGCGACTTGTTTGTACATTGTCCGAAAACTGCACGACCACAATATTAGTCAGCGTGTCGCCGTACTGCAAGATAAGATCAGAGATCAAGAGACGTGATAAATAATGCGATCGCCCACTGTGTCTGCTTACGCGCTGTGTGCCGCAGTCGGGATAGCCCTGGGGTCCGCTGATTCTGAGCACGTTGACGGTGCCCCCGTTGCCGCGGAAGAAGCAGCGATCGTAGAAGCCGTACGTGTAGATGCGTCCAAGAAAGCCCTCCGGCGTCCGTATGGTGAACTCCATGCCCTCCTCGTTGCACGTCTGCGTCACTGCAAGTGCAATTAGTCTCAGTCTCAATTGGGATTCAGACAGCCCAGTGGCCAGATTATTTACCATCCATGCACTCGCCGTCGCTGCGTCCAATGCTGCGTTCATAGAAGTCATAGTTGGAGGCGTCAAACGAGCCCGGATCGTGTATGTCCAGCTCGCGCGAATCTCTGTCGCTTAGCTCGCAGTTGGGCGACTCGCGTTCACGTTCACGTTCCCGATCGCGATCGTCATAGCTGGAGGCGGTGTCTCTGCAAATTGAATAGACGATTGCGATTGCGATAACTGCCCCTACCCAACTCTGCTCTGCTCTGTGTACATACCTGTAGTTGAAGCTGCGGCAGACAAAGTCGCGGCTCTCGATGCATTCCCGTTCGCACTGGATCAGGCTGGGCACGATCAGAGCGCGTCTCACGAAATGTCGTCGCATTTTGTGACGGGCCGCAATCTGCTTGAAATTATCGCTTTCCTCGCAGCGCGTAATCGGCGGACGCGGTGGACCAGCACCAACAGCCACGCCCACATGTGATCCCCCACCACCAGCATATGGAGTGGGCGGATGTGACAGGCCCAACCCGGGCAGCGGTATGGGACGATCATCAAGACTATTGCCACCATATGGCCGATTAAAGGGCGTGTCGTAGCGCCCATAAGAGCCACCAGGGGGCGGGCGGCGGGCGGGCGGACCATCGTACTCGCGATCATAGGGTCCCGGTGCAAAGCGATCGCCATAGCGTTCCTCGTAGTCGTAATCGTAGTAGGGCGGCGGGCGTTCCAAACCTAATCGGGGGGCAAAAATGTATACATATATGTATATATAGTAATTATCTTAAATTCCTAAAACTATTCAGCTAACTTGCAACTATAGATCGAGTTACTAAAAGTATGCAATTGCATTAGGGAAAGTTAAAAGCTCTATAAAGAGAATTTTTTACTGCATATGGAAAAATATAAATTAAAAGCTTTCACTGCAATTTCAGTTAGGGAACTTATTTCTTCGCATAAATGAGCTTCCATAAAAATATAAAGTAAAGTTGAAGGAATAATAATTATAATTCCAGCATTATTTCTCTTTTTCTTTATTATTTACTCGGCTTTATTGAAGATCTACAAAACTATAAAAAAATATCTCTTAACTAAAAATTTTGCCTAATGCGATCAGATATTTAATACCAGCTTCTCTTCCTGGTCTTTTAAAGTGGGTCACATTCTGGCAATCAGATTTGTTGGTAGTCGTATTAGGCTGCTAGTTGGTTAGTGTGTGAGGTACTTACCAGGGCGTCTGCCCAGATCACTGGGTCCGAGGCGATTACCGTACTTGTAGATGTCTAGGGGATAGCGATCGCTACCCACCGGAAAGCGATTCGGGGTCGAGGCATACTTGCTGGCGCTGCCCGTGGGCGCCAGGGGAGCGGGCGGATAGCGTTTGGCGGAATCCGGTTCCGGACGTCTGGCACTGTGCACAATATCATCATAGCGTCCGGGTGGCCCGCGCGAGTCGGGCGCATAGGGATAGCGTGACGAGTCCATGGACGAGGGTCGGTATCGTCTGTCCGGAAATATGCTGTCGGGCGCATCACGGCCCGTATAGCCGCCCACAGGATCACGACCTGGCGGATAGCGTGCTGGGTAGCGGCTGTCATAACGATTCTCGCCATATCGGCCGCCTCCACCATAGCCGTAGGGCCTGTAGGGCGCATCGTCGTCGGGGGGAAAGGGTCTCGTATGGGGCAGATCGCTGGGCAGTGTGTTATCATTAATGGCCGGATAAGGTAGTGGGCGATAAGGTAGCCGGTCACGATCTCGATCCCGCTCCCGCTCCGGATAGCGTCTGTCTCCATAACGATCGGGCGGATAGCGTTCCGGGTAGCGATCACGATCCCGATCGCGATCACGATCGCGATCCCGATCTCGGTCGCCGCTGCCGCCCACTGGGTAGCGATCTAAGAATTCGCCGCGACGCATTCGGGTTAGTAAATTAGTTGTCAGTAAGGATCAGTGATAAGGCACAGCATGGTGATATTAAAGGTTATGGGCTGTACAAAACGTGGACTTACCATAATCATCTGGATACCGCTCGTAGGGTCGACCATAGCCCATGCCCAAGCCCAGGCCATCGCTGCCCGGATAACGAGAGCCACCATAACGATCGGGCGGGTATCGCTCCCGATCGCGATCGCGATCACGGTCCCGATCGCCGTAGGGATAACGATCTGCTAAGGGGCAGATATACAAGATGTTTAAGGCCACATAAAAATGAATTCATCGCAATGATATACCATATTCATTGGCTGCAAAGTCGGGATAGCGATCGTATGGCCTGCCATAATCGATGCCCTCGCCAGGTGGCAGCCTGTTGCTGCCGGCACCACCAGCACCATGAGAGCCTGATCCTCCAATGCCACCAACGGCTGACCCCGGTCCGTAGCGATCGTCATGCTTGTTAGGCTGTCTCCAGTTGCTGCCAGATTGATCGCCGGGTCGCTTAACCTCGTTGCCACCGTGGCCACCGTGGCCAGCATCGCCATCGGCGCCGCCGCCGCCTCCGCCAGCGCCGCTGCCTCCGCCC